AATTAAATCAAATTAAAAAATAAATTAAAAAAAAGAATCATATTGCAATAAACATTCCATAAATTAAGAAAAAAAAAGGAAATCTTGGTTTCCAAATCCTGCAGGCCTGCCTGCCTCTTTTTTTTCCCCTCTTTTCTTCCATTTCTCCTTCCTTCCTCACTCCCCTCTTTCCCTTTATTCTACCCATCCATCAATTGATGGATCCATCTATGCACACATCCATCTTTCATCTCCCCTGCACTTACTAATAATCAAGTAATGCAGACGCATGCTCTACAGTCAAACTGCCTAATGTGAACCCTGTCCCTACCGCTTACTCCGTGGCCTCGCCTCGTGAGGCCTGTGCCTCAGTAGCCTCATCTCTAAAGAGGCAGCAGTTTCTACCTCACAGAGTTGTTCCAGAGATTCAAATCTAGTAAGTGTGTGCTCAGCAGGCTGCATAGGACATAGTATTCAACACAGGGATTGCAGTAGCGTTCCTCTTATTTTTTATTTATTTTTATTTATTTATTTATTTTTCTTATCTCTTTTATTAACCTGCACAGCAGAGAACATATTCAGACATCTGCAGCGAGGCTCACACATCAGCAGGGAGATACTGAAGAAGTTCCTGGAATGGGGCATGGTTAAAGTTGCTCTGTTCCTAAAGTTTGTTTCTGTCACTTTGACTAGTGGTTCTCAAACTGGGGCAGGCACCTGGGGTTTGGTGAATTGCAGATCACTAGGCGCCCCAAATTTGCCTTTCTAATAAATTCTGGGTCAATGCCAGTGTTGGTATCCTGGGGCCATATTTAGAGAACCACTGGCTTCTACCTGCTTCCTGACCCCCTCTCCTGCCAAATGTGCTAATGTGGGCACCAAGGTCACTTATTGTTAGACCTGCCCTATTGCAGTATGGGACACTCATTACAGAATGCTTCCCTAGCTTTCCTGCATGCTGGTCAGCCTCCATGCCTTCAGCTGGGGGACATGCCATTTGTTGCCCACCAGTGACATATGGCCGGCAATGAGCTTACGTTAGGGGAACCTTCTGGGTCCCTACTCATCTCCTGCTTACTTTTCTTTACCTTGCTCTCCTGTGTCGGTGTTCAGGGCTATCTCTACAGGCTCTATTACCACCTAGTCCTGGAAATGTCTCTCTTAATCATCAGTAACCACTTGAAATTCACTATGACATTGATGACAGCACACAGTTCATTGTACAGGTGATTTTCCCCAAGGGCATAGATCTCAACCCAGTCTGATATCTTGACATAAATTCTTATGTGACAGACTGATCATAAGATACTGACAACCCAATGGACTTATCAGAAAAGGCATATGATGATAAAGCCAGCTCAGCACATCACTGCTGTGAAAGACTTCCATTGCTGTGACCTCCCCAATAGCATGGCATTCTGAGAAGGAACCTATGAACAGCACACAAAAGGGTAATTTGACATGACCTGTTCTTAGCGAATTCATCCTGAGCCTTGGTGACCGCAGCTTTCCTTGGTGATCCCGATTTTGCTAGAGTTTTGAGCAGTTTGGTGGCTTGAGTTGTAAGAGTACCTCAAAACATCCATGACACATTCCACAGCCAACATTTTTCATGGGCAAGTAAAATATCACAATGCTCATCAGTATATTAAAGTATCTGAGAAGACCCACACGGAAGACATGTGGTTAAGTTTGTTTGTTTAGCAATCTGGAAACCTATCTAACTACAGAGATCTCAGCTCTTTATCCATATACCATCTATTTACATTTTTCTAATACATTTATTCATGCAAAACTATATATAACCAGGTGTTATTCTAGGAACTAGGGGTATAGTAATGAACAAGGCAAGCCTTCCCTGCCCCCAGAGAGCCGCATCCCAATGGGCAACGCAGGAAACAAACAAGTAACTACATACACATCAAATTTCATTTCAGATGGAGATAAGTGTCATGAAGAAAACTATAGCAGGAAGAGCTAAAAATTCAGATTTGGGACAGTTCAACATCTAGAGTCGAGGAAGAGAAGTCAGATTCAGGCTAAGGATACAGTGAGGAAGGAGGCAAATCAAGAGAGGGCAAGTGCTAACGCTGAGACAAGAAGGAAGTTCAAGAAGAGGGTATGATCAACAGCACCAGCAATGTTCAAAAGCTTGAGTTGGTTTCAGTGGAACTGAGGGAATAAAGTCTTAACTGGAAAGTGCATGAAAAGATGCTTGACATCATTAGTCATTAGTGAAATGCAAATCAAAACCATATCGAGATATCACTTCACACTGAATAGGATGATAATAAACACCCCCTCCCCCCACATATACACACCAAGAAGGGTTGGTGAGAATATGGAAAACTGGAACCTTCACATGGTGAGGATGTAGAACAGTACCACTGCTGTGGAACGTGGCTCTGCACTTCCTCAGAAAGTTAAACATGGCGTTACCGTATGACCAAGACTTCCACGCCTAAGTACCCACCCAAGAGATCAGAAGACTTGCTGCACGTAGTTATAGCAGTATTATTCACAAAGGCCGAACAGGGAAAGCAGGCCAAATGCCCATCAGGTAATGAATGGATAAACAACAGGTGAGCTATCCAGATAACGGACCGTGACTCGGCCATGAGAAGGAATGAAGTACTGGGGAGCGGAAGAGTTCTGCTAAGTAAATGATTCTTTGTGAAAGAAGCCACACACGAAAGGCCAGGCACTGTATGATTCCATTTAAATGAAACGTTCAGAGTAGGCCAGTTCAGAGACAGCAAGTAAATTAGAGGTTGCGGAGGCAGAAGGCGGAACGACTGCTAATGGGCATGAGGTTTCTTTTTGGGGTGATGAATATATTCTGGAAGTAGACAGTCGTGATGGTTGCATAACTGTGTAAATATATTAGAAAAACATGGAATTGTATACTTTTAAAAGAGTTTTATGGTATGTGAATTATATCTCAATAAAGCTGTTAAAAAACTGGCAGCAGATTTAAGAGAGTGTGGAAGGTTAAGAAAGAGAAATAAATAAGCACAGACAACTTTCCAAAGAAAAGGAATTTTGCAAAAAATAAAAAAAGATTCAATGGCAGTAGCTGTAGAGGAGGGAAGACATCACTTCTT